GTTGTCTGTTCACTATGTTCATTATATTCCCTTTACTGTGCAGAAGTTTTTTAGTTTGTCACAATCCCATTTGTCAATTTTTGCTTTTGTTGCCAGTGATTTTGGGGTCATAGCTAAAAAAACCTTGCCCAGACCAATGTCAATTTTCCCTATGTTATCTTCAAGTAGTTTTATATTTTCTGGCCATAAATCTAAGTCTTCAGTCAATTTGGGGTTGAATTTTTTATATGGTGTGATATAAAGGTTCAATTTCATTTTTCTGCATGCATATATCCAGTTTTCCCAATGCCATTTATTGAGGAGACTATCCTTTCCCCGTGCATGTTCTTGGTATAGTAGTTGAAGATCAATTGACCATAAATGTGCAGATTTATTTCTGGGCCCTCTATTCTGTTCCATTTTGTCTGTGCATCTGTTTTTATGCCGTTACCATACTGTCTTGATTACTATAGCTTTGTAACATATTTTGAAGTCAGGTAGTACGAGGCCTCCACATTTGTTCTTCTTGCTCATGATTGCTTTGGCAACCTGGATGATCTATCCATTGTTGAACATGAAGTATTGAAATCCCCTACTAATATTGTACTGCTGTCTATTTTTCCCTGCAGTTCTATTAATATTTGCTTTATATGTTTAGATGCTCCAACGTTGAGTTCATATATATTTACAATTGTTATATACTCTTGATGAATTGACCACTTTATCATTATATAATAACCTTCTTTGTCTCTGGTGATAGTTTTTAACTAAAGTTCTATTACATTTGATATAGATCAGCCAGCCCTGATCTCATTTGGTTGCCATTTTCATTGAACATATTTTTGTATCTTTCACTTTCAGCTTGTGTGTGTCCTTATACCTAAAGTGAGTCTCTTATAGGCAGCATTTAGTTGTATCTTATTTTTTTAATCCATTAAACCACTCTATGACTTTTTATCAGAAAATATATTTCATTTACATTTAAAGTGATTATTGATAGATAAGGACTTACCACTGCCCTTTTGATAATTGTTTTCTGACTGTTTCAAAATTTTCTTCCTTTTTTGTTCTCTTCCTTATAATTTAATGATATTTTGTAAGTATATGTTTTGATTCCTTTCTCTTTAACGTTTTTATATCTACTACAGTTTTCTTTGTCTGTGCGTGTTGTTACTATGGAGCTCACATAAAACATCTTATAGTTACAAAAAGCTACTTTTAGCTAACAATTTAACTTTGACTGCATTCAAAAACATGGAGCCTGGGGCGAAGAAGTAGGCCTGTTGCTGGGGTCCAAAGTGAACTTGAAATTGAGTGCCTACTTTATTCTCCTTTCACCGTGCAGAGAGTATCTCTTTCCAAGCTGTACTGTGTGGGTTTGAGGGAGAGTTGATAGGGGTAATGTGAAACTGTCCTTCCTAACTTCTTTATTGAAGGCCTGTTGCTGGGGTCCAAAGTGAACTTGAAATTGAGTGCCTACTTTATTCTCCTTTCACCATGCAGAGAGTATCTCTTTCCAAGCTATACTGTGTGGGTTTGAGGGAGAGTTGATAGGGGTAATGTGAAACTGTCCTTCCTAACTTCTTTATTGAATTTTTTTCTTATTTCTATGCTTTACCTAGGTGCTATAGCCTATATTACATATATACCAGGTTTTGGATTGCTTACCTCTTGTGAAAGTATTTTTGTACATAGATAGTTGTTCAAATTGATGTTTCTATGAGAAGACAAGCTGGAAATACCTATTCCACTATCTTGGTGACTTCTGAAAATCCTACGACCCATTTAATTTCAAAGATGTTCAGGAGAAAGGATTCCAAATAAGAAAAAATGAATGATTTTTTTTCTTCACCTCTATAACAGGAAAACTACTTTTTCAGAAATGAGTGTGAGATGTGAAAAGCCTGCTTGGAGGATCTCTCTTTCCTGTGCCTAAGAAGCTTGTGTGGTGTGAGGGCCCCAGTGAACATGAGGAGGGGGAAAGGAAGACTCAAGGGGAGTGGGATGCCTTGGCAGGTCTCCCCATAAAATGGATTCTGAACGCCAACAAAAGTATCCCCAAATAAGTGCTTTTATACTTTTATACAACATGTAATGACTTTCTAAGCACAGTCAGAACCACACCAGAGAGAATCATGTGCTAAAATACTGACTAAAAAAAAATCTTTCCTCAGATACAAGATGGGACATTGCATTATTCCAGACACAAGTGTACACATGGACACAAACATATTTGTGACCATAGTTTTTTTTTTTTAAATGAGTTTTATTTATTTATTTTTATTTTTTGTTGAGAGATTATTTATTATACACTTGTGGAGTACAAAGTTGACTATCAATAGTTGCATACAATGTATGATGGTCAAATCAGGATAATTAGCTTATTCATCATTAAAATATGTTATCATTCTTTGTGTCCCTTAACCAATTTCTCATTAACCCCTTCCCTCTCCTCCTCCCCTCCCCGTTTCCATCTCTAATGACCACAGTTCTGTTCTCTCTTTCTAAGAGTTCAATGTATTGTGATTGTGTAGTGTTGTGATTGTTTTTTAGAGTAAAGCTATAAAAGAAATGTGATATGATTAATAATGATTCTGGAGGTAAATGATGCTAGGACAAGTCATGGGATCAAGTCTGGTCAATGATAAATCTGTCTGGAACAAATTTCTACAGAACTTCTTTATTAGGATTGGGAAAAGAACAGACTGTGGGAAGCCTCAGGACTGTGAAAGCCAATGGAGTATCTCTCCAACTCTACCGCTCACCTATCTCTCTTTCAATGGAAGATTTCTCTTTAATGTAAGTGTATTAGTCCATCTCTGTTGCTTATATCAAAATACCTGAAACTGGGTAATTTATAAGAAAATGAAATTTATTTCTTACAGTTTCAGAGGCTGGGAAGTCCAAAGTCCAGGGAACATATATGGTGAAAGCCTTATTCCTGGGAGATGACTCTTTGTGGCAATGCAGGGTATCACACGGTGAAATGGCATGAACAAGAGAGAGACTAACCTCCTCACTTGAGAAACCCTCTATGAAAATCAATGGAACATTCTCCTTAAATCCTGCTTGTTAATGAATTTACTGGTTAACCTCATTAGTTCTAATGAAATGGCATGAACAAGAGAGAGACTAACCTCCTCACTTGAGAAACCCTCTATGAAAATCAATGGGACATTCTCCTTCAATCCTGCTTGTTAATGAATTTACTGGTTAACCTCATTAGTTCTATTGAGCTATAACTGCTCGTGAGTTAAAATATGAAGTATAAAGACTAAGCATGCATCACACTTTTTTATTACTTCCAAATTATTGTATAATACATTTTCAGAGAGTCAGAAAAAAGATCTCTAATCAAATAAATAAATCAGGTAAAAATGTTAGTTCCTTCTGTAAGGATAAAAAAATAGGAATCAAATATCTGTATGCCTTTGTGTGGGTATGTGTGTGTATAGAGAGAGAGTGAGCAAGAGAGAGTGAATGAAAATTTAAATTGTATATATATTTCTGTATTTAATACCTAAAATAAAATATTTTGACAAAATACTTTTAAATTTTTCTGTTTATTTTTCTCTCACAATACCTGCATAGTCTAAAGTATTTTTTTTAATCTGAGCATTTTAATTTATAAATAATAATTTTATTTTTAAATTAGAATTTTATATTTCAAATTTAGGGAGGAGTTGAGTTTTAATTACTTGTATATGGATTATCCATGGCAGATTTTGATTTTAGACTTTGTTTCCTCTTTGCTATTCTTTGTTTCCTCTTTGCTATTCTTTTCCCTGAAAGTCAATGGGTTAGGCTAAATGATGCAAACTGATTTTAATATTAAATTCAGGGAAGAGTGAGTTTTACCATTTTGGATCTTATACAGGGTTTTCTTAATGCTACAGCATAGATAAACAAAAAGTTGACTCTGTAACTACTAAGTAAATTAAGACACATTTACCCTCAATTACACATTTAGTGCATATTTTCCCTCCTTTCTACTAATCTAAACTAAGTCAGTGTTCATAATGGCTATACATGCACCTGAGAAGTCATCTGTGGCATTTATGTCTGCTTTACAACTCATTTATTCTTACTGTTTATCTCATCTTTCATGTATCGATGTTAGTGTTGTGGTAGAAAACTAAAGCCCTGCTTCAGACTTCTTAGTAGCACTGTCTGAGTCAGTGTCAGCATTTATTTAGAGATGTTTAACAATTTATCAGTTTTACTTTAGGAATTTCTTTCTTTGATGAGAGAAGTACCTTGGTTTTTCACAAGTTAATATTTATAAAATCACTGTAATGGGAGCATTGATTTCTAGCTTGCTTCTAGATTATGGTTCTGAAAATAAAGCTCTGCATAGGGCACAGGAAAAGCTTACTCTGACAATCAGCGTGAGCTATTGTGGCCATGATTTATGAAAAACTGACAAAAAGTAAATGTAATACGTGGCCTAAATGCATTTCCAGGTGTGTCATTTTCTGTGGAAGGGATGATTCACTGCAGTAAACATATATACGAGTTCTGTTTGAGTTTATCTTTTATTCTCACTCAAAATATTTTGGAAAGCAATTATAAAGAAATGCTCATTATGCAAAATCCAAAGTTTATTGTTTCTACTTGGTGCTAAATTTTAAAATGTATATGTAAAATTGGATAAAATTTTAATTGTGCTAGCAGTAAGTTTGAAAAACTAATTTGGTGATGTTTATAATAAGGAAAATTCACTAGGATATCTATACACTGTAATTATTTTTACTAAAAGAAATGCAGAAATATAAACAGACACCCATCCACATGTGGCTGATTTTATTTCTCCACATGGCGTTATTGGCTGTTATTAAGAGACAACTAATCAAGTTGGATAGATATTTCTTGAAATGATGCATGGTACGCAGTGCATGCTTTCATTGTGCTTCCTGCCATTATGGAATAACGTGTCTTATTTGGAAATACAATGATCATTTCTGTTAAATCACGCTCAGTCAGCTCACATAATAACACCTATATTTTGTGAATTATTTCAGATTTCAGAGAGCTATGCCTTCCTACCAAGAGAAGCGGTGACACGATTTCTAATGAGCTGCTCAGAGTGCCAGAAAAGAATGCATTTAAACCCAGATGGAACAGATCATAAAGGTAGCCACAGTGTCAAAGAGTGAGATTTAAAGTAATTTTATTCATAATGGCAATTTATATCTCACATTTTTATAAAAATGTGGTGGACTGAAACAGTTCAACAAGTCAGATCATCTCATTTATTCAACTTAGAAGCAGTGAATTTTGAATATCCACTTATGAAGTAATTCAGTGCCCACTCTTAGAAGAAAGACAGTTTCAACTGTGGCAAATAACTTTTTTCCCCCTATAATAATGTTTTAATTTTCATTTATTATATGTATTTCATGGTATTTTAGATATATTCAGCAAAGAAATTGATTTTAACAATGTCTTTTAAATCTACCGACTCCTTATATCTAAAAATCATGCATAATATAGAGTTCCTTCAGTGAAAATTTTTACAAAAAATTACTATTTGGCTTCAGCTTTCACTAAAAAGTAATCTAGATTGTTTTCATACATATGAATTTTTCTCAGAGATTAAATTAATTTCAGAGACACATTTAGGCTAGTCCATTCCCATGTGTTGAAGGATGAGTAGCTCAGACAAAAAGAAAAATTCTTTTAGCATTAAGTACATATGACTACAGATAGTAGTTGTATAGCAAAGGAGAAAAATACAAATAATTGTGTTTAATCACATTAACTTTATTCATTTTTACGCAGGATATTTAAATCTCCCCTACAGTTAGAAATGATTAATTTATCCATGCTGTTCATTTGTGTTGATACACGTTTATAGATCCTTGCCAGTTATTTTTTCTGCAATCCATCTACAATGCTGCCAAGCTTTTAAACACGAATCTAGAATCCTATTTCAATTTGGACAAACTGGATCATTCTGAAGTTATAGGTAAAATAGAATATTCCTTTCATTACCCATGAAAAATGTTTTATTGCAGATAATGGAAAACCTCCCACGTTGGTGACCAGTATGATTGACTACAACATGCCAATCACCATGGCCTATATGAAGCACATGAAACTGCAGCTGCTAAACTCACAGCAAGATGAGGTAAAATGAAAACATCTACGTTTGCATCACTTACAAATTGGGATGGAATTGATAACCATGGCTATCACATTAAGCATGATGGCATTTTGAAGAGAGTAATTTATTTTTTAATTAAAGGAATGTCACCAGGGTTGCACAGATGGAGAAAGTGGATGGAGATTCCTAGTCTGTGATGCAGTCTCTGTCTTGACACATGTATCTTAGTGTCGTGTGGGGATTTCTTGACTCCCAAGGAAGATTTATTTTCCTTAGCAGACTGCCATTAAGCTAGCCTTGGTAAAGTGTTTAGAAAGTTCAGGGGGAAAAATTTCAGACTAAAGTATCTCAAATATATAAGCTTCTGAGAAATTGTTAAGTACTAAGGTTATTTTGCCTGGCAATCCAAAACAAAAAACAAAAAACCAACAACATAGAATTAATAGGTATTTCAAGTTTAGTCATTTCTCCACCATTCAAATCTTGCATATATTTTTACAGTTATTTTTCAGTTAACCACTATTGTATATATTTCTTTGTTTACTTCTTTGCATTTTCTAGAGATGATTTACGGTGATTTTACTTAATGGGAGGTATTTTGATGTTTCGAATTATTCTATTTAATTTGTATAGTGAGAATCTAACAATGTGCTGGCATTTATTAGACACAAAATGTATATTTGTTGACATTCTCTAGGGTCCTAGTTAGCTACCCATTTTGGTTGAAGTAACTCAAAGGTAGGGACTAATTTATATATGTGCCCTGTTTATATTCTCCAAAAGACGTAGCAACAGCAAATACACAATAGGGGCTTAGTGAATCATTGTTAACTAGTTAGTAGCCATTAATTAATAGAAACATTCAAATTATTTATATTAGGAACAGGAACTCAAGCTAATACAATTTTTCCTCCTCGAAATTTCCCTAGAATAGAAAATGTGGTTAAATATTTATTTTTCAAACAGCATTATTTGGTAAGGTATCATTAAATTCTTATAAAATTACTTTATTGAGCTAACTTTCTTCATAAAACTCAAAGATTTTGTTTTCCTCTGTATTTGAGTAGGTTTAAACTCAAGTCTGTATTTATAAAATTGTTTGACCTCAATAGACTTTATTCAAGGTACTCTTTTTAAAAAGATCCTTATTAGCTCAATGGCAGTATCAGATTACATATTACCAGATGGCTACATATAAAAGATTGAATAAATTGTAATAAAATCATTGGGTTAAAGACACCAGAGATAATTAAGAAAATATTAATGTCTATCCATTCCAGAGAGTGAAAAACATTATTTCCATGATACATTACATAATAGAAAAAAAATTTTACAAGTGTCTCAAAAACTTGTCAGAAATGTCAAATTATTTGTAGGAAACTCATTTAGATATTGATATGTTTATTTCTAGGCCAAAAAGTAAGAAAATCAACTTTGTGCCAACCATACAGCTCACATATGCTGATCCCTTCTGGCTTCTAAAAAAATCACAAGTATTTTACACAAAAGAAATAGATCCTTTTAAATTATAACTGGATTAGGAAAATAACTCTTATCCATACATTTTGAAAATACTAAATTGGATGTACATCACTTTAAACATATTTAGGTACATGACTAGTTATATTATTTACAAAATTTTAGAAAATTGTGATTATTTAAAGATAGGAAGGGGGTTAACTGAGGTAAGTCAGATTAAAATGGAATTCAAGTGAGATATTCCTTTATGATAAATTATATTTAAATTAGAATAAGCATTAATTCAATCAGTTCAACTGGTATTTACTGAGTACTTTCTATGTACCTGACACTCCTGCAGTTAAGTTAACAAAAATCCCACCTTTATGAAGCTTATCTTCTAGTGGATAGAACAGACAATAAAGAAAATAAATAATAAATGTATTTATATAAGAAGATGGTAGGTGCTATTAAGAGAAATAAAGGCGGCCAGTAGTGGGAATCCCTTTAGAACGAGGGATCACAATGTTAAATGTCTTCATTGGGAAGGTATCATTTGAGCAGAACTGAAGGAAATGAGGTGCATAAATATCAGAGAGATATAGTGTGAGGTTCTTTAGGCAGGTGCATGCTTGGTAGCTGTAGGAGCAGCAAGATAGTCAACGTGGTTGGAGAATATGAACAAAGAGAATAATAGGAAAGGAGTTTAGAGAGAGAATTGAAAGCCGGATCCTGCAGGGCCTTATAATTTAAGAACCTTTGTATTTTACTCTTAGTATGGGGAGTCATTGGAGGGTTTTCAGCAGGGAAGTCATGTGATTTGATTTATATTTTAATAGAATCATGTGGGCTACGTTTTTACTAACAGACTGAAGAGGAGAAAAGTGGATTCAGGGACACCAATAGGAGGTTATTACAGAAATCAGTGTGGGTATAGTTAACAAAACCTTTCCTCTTCTGCATGAGAATTTGGCCTTTGGGCAGCTTTCTAGCTTTGACCTATTAAAATTGAAATGGCAACTATGTTACTAGGCAACCTTGCTAATACCAAAAATGATCCCAATTGGTAAACTATATCAGAAGACTAGAAATAACATGGTAAGAATCAACTTAGGTTTCCCTGAGTGGGATGCTTCTTACCTTAGAAGCACTAACTGGAGTTATAAGAGATTTTGTCCCTTTGGGGACATGAGACTTTGCCAGGTTCTCAACCCACCCAGTAAGATTACTGTCTTCTTGCACCTTGGCTATCACTGGGAGACCAAAAAAAAAATAGGTCTTGTTAACCATGCTATATGACTGCTACAAGGGCTACTAAGAGAAATAACTGATGTTATCCTGCTGGCAAGCTGGTTCCCTTACCAAATTGTTCTAGATGAATCTAATCAATGGTAGTCTTGTAAGTATACATTTTGGACTAACAAGAGCCCCTAACTGATGTTATCCTGCTGGCAAGCTGGTTCCCTTACCAAATTGTTCTAGATGAATCTAATTAATGGTAGTCTTGTAAGTATACATTTTGGACTAACAAGAGCCCTGATGGGTGTTTCAGGTGTAGGAAGGAAGATGACAGTGGCTTGGATCAGATGGGTAGTAGTTAAGGTAGTAAAAAGTCAATTTATGAATATATTTTAATATTTGCTGATTTAAGATTTGATATGGAGTATGAAAGAAAGTCAAGAGCCTATGATGACATCAATGCTTTTAATTTGAGCAAGTAGTGTAGAATGGTATTAACTAGTATAGGAAGCACCGTGGATAGAACAGATTTGAAGTATGATATTAGAAGTTCAATTGTGAGCTCTTTACTAGAAATCCAGGTAGATTTAAGATATTTATTAGATATTCAAGTAGATTTGTCAATTAGAAAGTTGATGTGGAATTAAGAACAAAGAGCTATGCTGGACCTAAGACCAGACATCATCAGCAGTTCGTATTTAGAACCATGTTCCTGGAGGCATTACCAAGGTAACAAGTGTGAGATGAGGAAGAAGCACAGTGACTTTGACTTAGAAAACTAAATGTTATGACATCTAGAAGATCAGGAGAAACTAACAGAAGATACTGTTAAAGAGCAGCCAGTGTATTAGCAGGAAAATCAGGAGAGTTTGTGAACTAGAAGAAAATTGAAGAAAGTTTTACAAGGAGTCTAGAGTAATCTATTGAGTCAAATCAGCTAAGTCAATTAAAAAGAAGACTGAGGACTGAATTTGTATTCATCCTCGTGAAAGTCAATTGTGTTCTTGACAGGAGCAGTGTTGTGGAATGGTAGGGATAAAAGCCTGATTGGAGTGGGTATAAGAGAGTATTGGAGGCAGCAAGGTCATTGGAAGAGTTTTGCTCTGGAGGGGAGCAGAGAAAGAGGCAGTAGCTGGTGGGGAATGGGAACAGGAGGTGCTTGTTATGTTTATTTTTTTAAGATCAGAAGTAATAGCATATTTGCATGTTCGTGGGAATCATGTTGTGGAGGTAAAAAATAATGCAGGAAAAAGGAAGAATTGGTGAAGTGATATCCTTGGCATTATTAGGGATAGTTTCTTGTGCAAAATTGGGAGAATTGCCTTTAGAATGGAGCACAGAGAGGAGAGATCAGATAGTGGTAGATGGATGGAAATGGTGACGGAGCTAGTAGAAGCATTCTTCTTTTTGCTTCTAATTCCTCAGGAAAAAAGGAAGTAAGAGTTAGGATGTTTTAGAATGTGTTGGAAGTTTGAGAAAAGAAGAGGATGTGAGAAGTAGAAATCTAGACAGTGTGAAGTGAATGTACCAGGAAAATGGCTCTTTTTTGAATTTCATGTTGTTATATTTAGAGTGAAATCATTTAAATGATTGCTTGTCTCCACATTCACCTATACAGGAGCATGGGTTCACCTATATAGGAGAGTAAGGGGAAAATTGGAATTAATCTTGTTTTGGGTCTTATCAAAAGAATGGAGGTGTTATACAGGGTATGATTAAAATGACAGGCTATGGAATTTTAACACATGAGAAGGTAAGTGAGGTCATGAGAGGTGGGGCAGGAGGGAGGCAAGTCAATAAAAAAGGATTAGGAACATTGGATTATGAATATCAGTGGGATGGAAATTTTGTTTTGGCTGGAATATTAGAGGAAGTGATCTAAAAATTTTGAGATGCTGTGCAGAGAGTGAGATGCTTGAAATCAGGATTATGGAAGATTTGCAGCTATTGATCATGGAATGCCTACAACATGATTGTGAGGGCAATGTGACTGAAAAGGGTGGAGGACCAGATCATTGGGGAAGAATTCATGGAAATGAGAAGTAAGGATGCTTCCAGAGTTACTGAAATCTCCAAGGCTTGAAGCATGAGTCATATCAACGTGAGTGAAAGGGAGCCTGAACAAAACTCAGAGGAAGGTGGAGGACCAACTTGGGGATTAGTAGATAATTGTACCAAATAGAGGGTAATATTCTTTAGGGTAAATTTTGTTAATTATTTTGTAAATAGGACAATTTTTTTAAAAAAGCCTTGTGGAATGAAAGCAGAAACTCTATTTTATACTCCAGAGGCTTTATCTATATTATCTAATTTAATCCTTACAACAA